GGATTCTTATGAGCATTTTGTTACCACTATTATGCATGGTAAAGAAACTGTGAAATTTGAAGATGTGTCAAATGCCTTGATGAATTATGAAATGAGGCATAGAGATAAAAATCATGATAGTACCTCTGAAGCTTTATTTGTTAGAGGTAGATCATCGGAGAGGAGGTCATCTTCTAGCAGGAAAAAATCACAGTCTCGACCTAGAGGAAACTCTAAAGGTAGAAAACCTTTGGAAATGGATGAATGTGCCTTTTGTCATAATAAGGGTCATTGGAAGAAAGATTGTCCTAAATTGAAGACCAAAGGCAAAGAAAGTTCTGAAGCTAATGTTGCTGAGGTTGAAACAGATTTTTCTGATTTTGCTTTAACCACTTCCTCATCATTTGATTGTGCTACTAAGTGGGTGTTGGATACGGGTTGTACTCATCATATGACTCCTCACAAGGATTGGTTTTCAAGCTTGAAAGAGTTTGATGGTGGCGTTGTGTTCATGGGAGATGATAATCCTTGCACAACAAAAGGGATTGGTACAGTTCGTTTGAAGTTGCATGATGGCATGGTTAAAGAGTTGACAGGTGTTCGGTATGTACCGAATTTGAAGAAAAATCTTATTTCTTTGGGTACTCTGGAATCCAAGGGCTTCAGGTTTCATTCAGATGGACAGACATTGAAAGTTACTTATGGTGCACTTGTTGTAATGAAAGCTCCTAGATGTGGCCATTTGTATTTATTGCAGGGAAGCACTGTGACAGGTGAAGCATATGTAGTCTCTGAAAATATGGGCACATCTGATTCAGATACTACTAGATTGTGGCATATGAGATTAGGCCATGCCGGTGAGAAAGCTCTACAAGGGCTTGTGAAACAAGGTCTTCTAAAAGGTGCCACGACTTGTAAGCTTGATTTCTGCGAGCATTGTGTCTTGGGGAAGCAAACTAGAGTGAAGTTTGGTACTGCTGTACATCAGACGAAGGGCATTCTTGATTATGTGCATTCGGATGTTTGGGGTCCTACAAAGACTCCCTCTTTGAGTGGTAGACATTGGTTCGTGACCTTTGTTGATGATTATTCAAGAAGGTCTTGGGTCTACACTATGAAGCACAAGAGTGAGGTGTTGAGCATTTTCTTGGGTTGGAAGAAAATGGTTGAGAACCAGACTGGGAGAAAGATTAAGATTTTGAGATCGGATAATGGTGGTGAATACACATCCGATCCTTTCTTTAAAGTTTGCAAAGAGGAAGGAATTGTGAGACATTTCAGTGTTCGGGGAACTCCACAACAAAATGGAGTTGCAGAAAGATTGAATCGAACCTTGCTTGAGAAGGTTAGATGTATGTTGTCCCAGTCGGGTTTAAGCAAGTCATTTTGGGCAGAAGCAGTTAATTATGCATGTCACATCATCAACCGGTTACCTTCAGCTGCTATTCAGGGTAAGACACCAATGGAGGTATGGACTGGAAAACCTTCTTCTGATTATGATCATATTCGTATTTTTGGTTCACCTGCTTATTTCATGTAACTGAAAATAAACTTGATCCTAGAGCCAAAAAGGCTATCTTTCTTGGTTTTAGTAGTGGTGTCAAAGGTTACAGGTTGTGGTGTCCAGAGATGAAGAAACTGGTAATTAGTAGAGATGTGACATTTGATGAAGAAAGTATGTACAAAGTCTCTGAGAAGAATGTGAAAGATGTCCAACAGGTGGAGCTTGAGAAAGTTGCATCTGGTACTTCAAATCCTATTTCCGCTGATGTCGAAGCCACTACAAGTGAAGAAGTGGGAGACCATGAGGATGTTGAAGAAGTTGAACTTGAAGATTCTATTCAAGTTGAAGAGCAAGTTTCACCTCAAGAGTCTATTGCCAAAAACAGAGGAAAGAGACAAATTACCAAGCCAGCTCGGTATATAGTGACTATGTTTCTTTTGCTCTTCCTTCCTATTATCACTGATGATATTCCATCTAATTTCGAAGAAGCCATTGAGAGTGAGGAGAAGAAGAGGTGGTGCAATGCCATGGGTGATGAGATGAATTCTCTCTTGAAGAACAAGACTTGGGAGTTAGCTAAATTGCCTAAGGGCAAGAAAGCTATCGGTTGCAAATGGGTGTATGCCAAGAAGGAAGATGCTGATGAGAAAAGCAATGTGAGATTCAAAGCAAGATTAGTTGCTAAAGGGTATGCACAAAAGGAGGGCATTGACTACAATGAAATCTTTTCTCCGGTTGTGAAGCACTCCTCAATTCGCATTATGTTAGCTCTTGTTGCACAGTATGATCTTGAGCTTGTGCAACTTGATGTGAAGACGGCTTTCCTACATGGTGATTTGAATGAAGAGATTTATATGTGTCAACCAGATGGGTATATAGTGAAAGGGAAGGAGAATTTGTTTTGCAAATTGAAGAAATCACTTTATGGCTTGAAGCAATCTCCAAGACAATGGTATTTGAGGTTTGATAAATTTATGAGAGGCCAAAATTATTCTAGAAGTCAATATGATCATTGTGTGTACTTCAAGAAGTTGCAAGATGGGTCTTTCATTTATTTGTTGATATATGTTGATGATATGTTGATTGCCTCAAAAAATGTTGAAGAGATTGAAAAATTGAAGAAGCAAATGAAGAATGAGTTTGAGATGAAGGATCTTGGTGAAGCGAAGAAGATCCTTGGCATGGAGATCACTAGAGATAGAGCAAAGGGTTTCATCAGTTTGAATCAAAGACAATACCTTGAGAAGTTGATTCGGAAGTTTGGAGTTCATGATTCAACCAAACCGGTTAGTACCCCTTTGGCTCCTCATTTTAAATTAAGTTCTCTACAATGTCCTAAAAATGATAAAGAGAAGCTGCAAATGAAAAATATACCATATGCAAATTTGGTTGGTAGTTTGATGTATGCAATGGTATGCTCTAGACCGGATATTGCTCATGCAGTTGGCATGGTGAGTCGATATATGCATAATCCAGGTAAAGAGCACTGGCAAGCAACTAAGTGGATATTGAGATATCTCCATGGTACTCGAGATGTTGGTTTATGCTTTGAGAGAGATGACTCTGGTATTGGTCATTTTGCAGTTGGTTATGTTGATTCAGATTATGCAGGTGATATGGATGGAAGGAAGTCTACTACAGGCTATGTGTTTACTATGGCTAAAGGGCCAGTTTGTTGGAGGTCTATTTTGCAGTCGTCTGTTGCCTTGTCTACTACAGAGGCTGAATATATGGCAGTTGCTGAAGCTATAAAGGAGGCCATTTGGATACATGGGCTGATTACAGATTTGGGGGTTGATCAGAAGCAGGTGGAGGTACATTGTGATAGTCAGAGTGCCATTTATTTGGCTAAGTATCAGGTTCATCATGCGAGGACCAAGCACATAGATGTGCGTTATCACTTTGTTCGTGAAATTGTTGGTGAAGGGGAAATCATTCTCCAGAAGATTCCAACTAAAGACAACCCCGCTGATATGTTGACTAAGGTTGTTGGTGTAGCCAAGTTTGTTCATTGTTTGAACTTGGCTCACATTATGCCTATATAAAGAAGGCGTTGAGCAGTAGGAGTTTTGGAGCATTTGGCTCGGTATGAGTTGTTCTCGTACTAGTGTTTGGGAGTGATTTTTTGTGTTGATTGTGTTGGTTGGCTTATCATGGTGTTTTCGAAATTTGGCCAAGGTGGAGATTGTTAAATTATGGCCAAACAACAATTACTTTCGGCTATTAAAAAAAGGAAAAGAAAAAACTTTTGGTTATAAAATTATAAAGACATCATGATGAGGAGGCATCATGATGATGTTTTTTCTTCTTTTGTGGTTTTTTATTAGCCGAAAGTGATGGCTTGGTTTAAATAATAAGTCATTGTTTTGTTTCGGTAGATAGAGAAGAAAAGGATAGCTCAATTTCAGTTTTTGAGCAGAAGAGAGAAGAGAGCTGCAGAGAAAATGAGTGCAAGCTGCAGAGCATCAGAAAATTAGAAAGGGTGCAACAACCCTTTGTTGAAAAGAAGAAGAATGTGCTCTTCTTTTTTATTAGCAATCATCCATCATAGTTATTGTTGTAATAGCTTTGAGCTATATGTGTAGAGAAGAAATTATACCTTATATTTCTTTCTCTATTTGTTTCTGTGGTGTGTGAGAGCTATTGGGTGTATTGGGTTATTTGGGTTGTGAGATTGCCAACACTTTGTAAACTCCCATTTGGTTGATAGTGGATTATTGGGTGAGCTCCTACTGCTCCGAGGACGTACTCCAGTTACACTGACTGTTGAGGAACCTCGTTAAAATCTTGGTGTCTTTTATATTTTGTTCTTGCATTTTCATTTGATAAATTTCCTGTGGGTTAGCTTGAGTTGGTTCCAACGGGTTTGGTGCTATCCTAGCACAACACTCACCACCCTTCATTTGTGAAAACCTGGCTTTCTAACATGAGGTCTGCTCATAGCTCAAGGGTTTAACGATTCCAGGGAAGCAATTCAGACAATCAGAGACTGAAACGATGAAAACGGAATCGTAAAAAGTTGACTGAGAGAGAAGAAAGATAGGAAGAGAAAACTTAGCATCTTCATCTTGTTGTCTAATATCATATAGATTAAGTTACTGACTGAAAGGACTTCATTTCTGATTAAATTCCGTCCACAAAAGTTTTATAACCATGCATCAGGAAACAAGAGAGCAAGCAAGTCTTATATACGTGATATATATGAACATGAAACTACACGTCTTGTACACTGTAATAAACTTCACCCTAAATATGCTAGAACATGTTTACTTCCATTTTCGGGAATGAAAATCATACGTAAAATTTAAAGGATGATACCCAAACTGTTCAGTTATACGATAAGGGGTGTGATATCCACACATCCCATTTTATTTCTCACACACATTTTTAATTTTTAACCGTCGGATCGGATGAATTAAAGAAGATCAACGAACATATATTATTAAGGGGTGCGTGAGAAGTAAAATAGGATGTGTGGATAGCACACCTCTAGAATAAACCCCTTGTTACGAGTCCCTTGTTGATAATACCTTGCTGAAATCGGGAATCAACACATATTTACAACACGAGGCCCATTTTTCTTTTCATTCCTAGCGTTTTCGGGAATGGGAATGATAACCATACCTTTTATTCTCTTTCTTAAATAGTAAACATGCCCCTATAGACCTATAAAAATATCTAGGACTAGTATACGGATAATTACCCTGGTATATACAAGAAACTAACATGCTAATACTATAGTTGCTTCACTAAGTTACTTAGCTTGTGTTGACGCCTCATTTGTGTTTGCTCGGCAATCAATTACTGCAGGCTGACAATTTCCTCCTGATGGCACCGTTGTTTCCCCCCTTGCACCGATACTAGCCTGAACGGATGACCCAACAGGCGGACAGAAGCATCGTAAATCGGTTTGACAACGAAGTCCCATTGCCCCAACACTAGACTGCAGATTACACTGGCTGTCCTCGAAATAAGTATTACTGTTACATTGATTTCCGAAGGGGAAAACACCCAACTCAGTATCAATCTTTCCTCTAAATTCCAGCAAAAGGCCTCTCAGCCTTAAACGCTCTGCTTCAAGAATTGCCTGCCCCTGTAATTTCCTAACAAGTTGCTGGTTCAACACCTGCAATTTCTTGACTTCCTCTTCCAAATAAGCTGTATGTGCCTTCTTTTTCTCCCTGTACTTCCGAACTGCTTCTCTATTTCCCGAAGGCCTTCTCCTTCGTGGTCTCGGGATGGAATGATCTTTATTCTTGGTACCATCATCATCTTCCGATGAAAGAATTTGGGTGTGTGTGTGGTAGCAAGTGTGTGTATGTGCAGCATCAGGGCCAGGTGGGTTGCAAGTATGAGTGTGAGTGCACGTCCGCGCGGTCTTCAAAAATTCATCGAAAAATGTATCTTCATAAGTTGAACCATGAAAAGTGCTAGAGGAATTGGGATTTGGAAGCAAAGCATGGTCTGAAGTAACCACCTCCCCATCATCCATGTTTTCTTTGATTACTTGAAATAAGAACAATTTGAAGCTAAACACACAAGAAATATTATCTGCAAAATACACAATTGGGTCAATTCCCATTTTATTGGTATACAAATATAATAACTTGATGCATAATTAAACCAAACTTAGTTCTTACTCAAAAGTATGAGGGCTTGACTGCAGGTCCGGGATTCAAAATTGAAGTGGGATGAACTTTGAAGACAAATTTCATTAGTGAAAGGACTTTATCGAAATTTCTGCGGAGTCCCCTTTGACTGGATCCAAATCAAATCTAAATCAAGAACATATACAAGCAGTAGATCCCTCTGAAAAAATATTCAATAACCTATTTGAACATATAAGCAGAAAATCAACCATGGGCTGAACTCAGAAATAGAGGGCTTGAAATGGAAACAAGTTTTTTTGCAGAAATATATATTAAAGAAGATATAAATTCAACCACAGAAGTAGAGGGTAATTGATAAATTCGATTCCACTGCTGAAGAGAATAAAAACTTTTAATTGGGGCAATAATATATATGATGGAACAGAAGAGAATATAGAAAGCAGACATCTGTTGCAGAATATAGATAAGCAAGAAGATGATAGCTTGATCAAATTGTGAGCCAGAAAATTGTGGAATTCTTTGTGAAAGCAGTATGATTTATTAGTTACCTGATATTTGCGTAAGATTCTGTGAACGTGATCTATCTGCCACCTTCAGATGTCAAACACCTCAATTTCGGTGGCAGATTCTAAGCCATCTCACTTTCCGTACCCTCCTATTTTATGTGGTTACGATTAAACCACGTCAACATTTTATATTATTTTTTTATAGAGATAATAAGACAAAAATAATATAAAATATTGACGTGACTTAACCGTAACCACACAAACAGGAGGGCACGAGAAGTGGGAGGGCAGAGAATCTGCCTCCCTCTATTTCTTGGAAAAGGATCTGGCCTGCTGATGCTAGGGATTTCACAATCGTGTCCGTTTATCGTACATCGTACGGTCAGAAATTATTTAAAATTCAAATATAAATAGTAACTAACGAAAACTTATCTAACGATGTACGATAAACAGACATGATTACAGAATTCCTAAAATCCCTATTTCTCTAGCACTTTTGTCACAGGATAAAATGTCAAACACTCAACAGTACCAACAGGATCCTCTCCGGATTCCTTTGGTGCGGATCATAGAGACTCGTGAATCGTGTTCATTCATCGTACATTATGCAATCAATTTTTATCAGGTACTGTTTATGTTTAATTTTTATTAAAAATAATTTCTGACGGTAAGATATACAATAAACAGACACGATTCACGAATCTCTGAGATTCTCACACAAAGAGAATCAAATAAAGATCCAGATTCGCAGTTTTATTCCCAGCGCGTTCAGATAATACACATGGCATATTTTGTATTTTTATGTGTGCCAGTGTGACGGGCCTAACGTGCTTTTCAGTTCTGGACCTAATTTTCACACCCATTATTTTAATTTATTACACATCTATTTTTACATATAATTAAATATAAATATGTAAAAGACTAAAGATAATGTGTATTTATTATTTCTCTTTCCGCTTCTTCCTTTAAATTGGGTTTATTATCATAATTTGTGCCATAAAATGGAGAATTGTTGTGCCTTGGTAACAAAGAGATCATCTTCAGATCCTTTTCTCCTAATCAACTAAATCAAGGAATTCGCGCGATTGAAATTTGATCCAACGACTGATGTTATTATAACTTTAAAATGAGCCATTATTTGTAGTTGTTTGATCAATTTTCAACGATACGAATTCTCCGATCACGCGGAGGGGCCCCCTCACACAAACTCTCTAATTTGACACCCGCAAAGAAGGCCACCTCCATAAAATGGCCAATTTTAAACTTCTTTGATAACCGTTTTTAATTTTCAAATTAAAAGAAAACTGAAAGTTGTATGAAAATAGTTGGGTAATTGCTAACTCATTATGAGGCTAAGTACACTCCCTCCCTCTTAGTGTAAGTAATATTATTTGTTAAAAAAAATAATAATAAAAAAATAAAAAACATGAAATTCTTTTTGAGGTCATAAAAAGAAGGGTTTTTATAAAAAATGGTCCATTGAATTGACCCACACAATCAAGATGGTTTATTGAAAGTCCTCAATGTAGTTCCTGAAAAAAAGTGTTGCAAATCAATGTGAACCTTCCATCATAATTTTGTCAAAAAATTTCTGTTATATACTAATGTGGCACATAAATGGATCCCACAAGATTTACTGGCTTTTATCATAAATGGTCCCTAAATTTGACCCACACTATATAAATATGGTCCCTAAAATTGAAAATCAATCAATGTAGTCCTTGAAAATATGTGTCACAAATCAATATGGTCCATTGATCATAATTCCATCAAAATTTTTGTTATACACAATCAGATTATCTCAAGGCAGAGCTAGCTAGCCGTTCTTCGTATCACCATGATCACCAAGGGAGCGCTCAACAAGCTCTCCAAGATTAAGGTTGTAAGGATGTTGATCACCCAAACGTCAACGATGATGTCACAGAAGTCGTCACCAATTCAAGCTATGGCCAAAGGTGGTCTCAATCCTGGTCAATTTTGGTGAAGGGTGTCGAAGGGTGAAAAGATGAGTGTCTTGAGAATTTTTTTTTTTTTTTTTTTTCCAGAATAAAGATGGCAAAGGCTACCATAGATGGAGGTAGAAGAGTGGGTTGGGATTGGAGGTAATTGCCTCATGGGTTGACAAACTTTTTAATTAATTATTAAATTATTGAACTTATTTCTAATTTATTTTTAATTAAATTAAATTTGTAGGATTTATTTATGTGTCGCATCAGCAAATAACATTTCGGACCTAGGAGATAGCACAAAACATTTCCACCCGGAAGAGAAGGGAGATTTTCGAGCGTGCTGCCCAGTTGGATGTCATTGTTACCACCAAACTTGCCAGGTTGCGGCCGAGACCAGGAGGATGAGTAAGAGTTTGCATGTTTCAGTAGTGTTTGATCCAAGACTATTTTCAAATCTGGTCATGTTAGTGGACATGAAGTAATCCATGTTTCATATTGTAATTCAGAAACGTGATTTATACCATATATTTCGTACAAATGCTTTCGTTGTTAACTTGTCGAAACTTGTATTATATAGTTCTAACTCTGAAATAAACATAAAATAAACAATAAATCAGAAAACAATGTTATACTGTAGTTGAAATTAGGGGGAAAATCGCAACATACTGCAAAACACTATAAATATCAAATACTAAAAATACCCTAACTTAAAAAGTAAATCAAATTGCAAAACTTAATTAGCTAACTTTTCCAACCTATACGATCACTTCGGAGGAGATCCTTCTAGTCGGATATAGTCGTACATGATACCTGAGAAAGGGCCATTTGCACTTCTGGACTGAGTAAGATAGATAGTGTTGTTTCCTTCTCGTAGTCGAAAGCTTGGCACAACAACACTGAACAGCTGGTACAAACCATGAATTCCATGCCTTGCAATAGCATTGTCCTTCCCTATTATTAGCCTAGTTGTAAAATGATGTCGGTCGTTGGGGCTCTGGTCGTTCAATCGAACCTGCAGTTCTGCACCGTTTGCTGAGGCCAATGCCAACTGGAGTGTATAATCTCCGGTGTTCATTACTGTAGACAGTTAGGGTTAAGGGGGTTTAGGGTTTTGTATTTTATTGTACTGTATAGCTGCTACCAACTCTTAGACCCCTTCGTATATAAACCCCTGTAAAGTATACTTTAAAGTCAATGAGAATCTGAAACTTCACATGGTATAGAGCCTCTGATCCCTCCTTTTTCTTTTCCATGGCTTCCGCTACTTCCTTTCCTGCCTCTTCCATTCCTAATATCTCTACACTTGTTTCTGTCAAACTTTCTGAATCTAATTACTTACCATGGGAAAGTCAAGTTAAACCATTCTTGATTGGCCAAAACTTTTGGCGTTTTGTAGATGGATCCCACCCTTGCCCTCATCCCTTTATCACCACCACAACTCAAGCATCTTCCCCAAATGCCTCTGCTAATTCCGAATCCTCCACAGTGGTGCCTCCTGTCACTACTAGCGTCCCCAACCCCGAATACCTGGTATGGTACCAGACTGATCAGACCCTTGTCAGCATGTAATGTGCTACCCTTACCGAGCCTGTTCTCTCGTTGACAATTGGGTTATCTACTTCTCGTGAGATCTGGGAGCATCTTCGTCAAAACTTTTCTCAACAATCCCTTGCCAACTCTACCCATTCTCGGTTTCAGCTGCTGTCTCTTCAAAAAAGTACCAAGACGATCTCCGATTATCTGGGCCTTGCTAAACATTTGGCAGATCAATTGGCTTCTATTGGCCAACCCGTTCAGAATGGTGATTTGGTGACTTATGTACTTAATGGCTTGGGGTCTGAATATGAGATTCTTGTCTTGGCACTGACCAACTTTCCTCCTCTACCGTCCTTTAACGACTTGTGTGCTCGTCTTCTGGTTTATGAATCTAAGCATGCCATGACTCAAGCCACTTTAGCTCATTCTGCTCTCTACTCCGCCCGTAGCTCTGGTGGTAATCTCTCTCAGGGGCGTGCTAATCTGCCTTGTTGCCATCATGGCACTTCCAATGGCAATCGTCATTCCTGTAATTCTGGTGGTGGCCGTTTTACCATGCATGGCAGTGCTGGCCGATATGGTCCACGTACTGCTCAACACCGGCCTCGCATTGTGCCCTTGCACGACTCGCTCCGACGATGATATCTCTCGAGCTTTTGCTGGCATGCATATTGCTTCTCCCTTAGATCCTACCTGGTATCCGGACACTGATGCCACTCACCATATGACCAATGACCCTCACTTCCTCACTTCAACTACTAGGTATGGTTCTAATGACAAGGTTGTTGTGGGTAATGGTGAGACCCTCCCTATTGCGCACACTGGTAATCTTTCTTCTAAGTCCGGGCCTTTCATTTTTCGGTTATCCCAAGTTTTGCATGTTCCAGCCATTCGGAAAAATTTATTGTCGATTGCTAAGTTTACACGTGATAATCTTGTTAGTCTCTCGTTCTTTCCGTGGGGTTTTGTCGTCCGTGACTTAAAAACGAGTGTTGTTCTTTTTCAGGGCCCATGTGAGGATGGTCTTTATCCCCTAAAGCTTGGTCTTGCTCTTAGCACTGGTTCTACTACCAAACATGCCTTTGTTTCCATTTTTGCATCACCCTCCCTTTGGCATAGTCGTCTTGGGCATCCCTCCCGTCAAGTTCTTAATGTATTAGCCTCTAGTAATGTATTAGGCTCGTCATTTATTGTCTCCACCAAAGATTTTTGTAATCACTGTGCGTTGGCCAAATCCCATCGCCTAGCATTTACATCTTCAGAACATTATGCTCTGTCTCCTTTTGAATTAATACATTCTGATGTTTGGATGTCTCCTATTCTGTCGGCGTCGGGATTTCGTTATTATGTTTTGTTTACAGATGATTACACACGGTATACATGGATTTATCCCATGCTTAAGAAATCTGAGGTCTTTCTTCACTTTACCAATTTTATAACTCTCATCTCTAATCAGTTTTCAAAAATGGTTAAAATACTCCAAAGTGATAGGGGTAAAGATTATGATAATTTGTCTTTTCGTCAATTGTGTGCGAAAAAGGGGATTCACCATAGATTCTCTTGTCCTCATACCCCGCAGCAAAATGGACTTGCAGAACGCAAGCACCGTCATATCTCAGAAATGGGACGCACCCTGTTACTTGCTGCCAATCTTCCACATAAATTTTGGGCTGAGGCACTCTGCACTGCTGTTTATATAATTAATCGGCTACCCACTCCTGTTCTCAAGTGGACCTCTCCGTTTCACAATTTGTTTGGCCGGGTTCCTGATTACATGGCTTTGCGCACGTTTGGGTGTGCTAGCTTTCCATACCTTAGTGATTATGCAACTAACAAACTCCAACCCAGATCCTTGTTATGTGTTTTTCTTGGCTACGGTGACCAATATAAAGGCTATCGTTGTCTTCATCCCTCAACTGAACGTGTATATCTGTCTCGTCATGTTAAATTCAATGAGCATGATTTTCCTTTCCACTCCTCTATGGCATCATCTTCTGTGCCTGCATCAGACTTGGTATTTGTTCCCATTCACCCCGTACCTACCCTACTTCAGGACAACCATGCCTTGTCCCCTATGTTTTCCTCATTGCCACCCGTGCCTATGCCTCAAAATTAGGATCTCACCCATACCACCACTTCTGCCACTGTCCCTGTGTCAGTCTCCACCACAATCCCATAACAACCTTGCACTTCACGTGCACTTTCCTTGCCAGCTCATGACCTGGCACCCATGCTGCCTGAAACCCCCGTGACTATCCCTCAAAATCTGGAACTCTCAATTGTCAACCTGCTTGCACCTGTTCCTGCGTCTATCCCTCCTACATCTCAGCCACCCCACTCATATCCACATGCCTTTCAGTTGCCAGCTAGTGGTTTGGCTCCTCCTCCTTTCTCAGGACCTCACACACGGTCTAAGTCTGGAATTTTCAAACCCAAAACGAAGGCCTACCTTGCTAGTCATCATCCTCTTCCATCTGCAATGACCACCCTCGTTGAACAAGAAGTGAAGCCCACTTGTTTTACACAGGCCTCCCGATCCCCTCAGTGGCGCCAGGCTATGTTGGATGAGTTCAATGCGCTGCTTAAACAAAGCACATGGACCTTAACCCCTCATGTTCCCCATGCTAACATTATCGGCTGTAAATGGGTGTTCAAAATCAAGCGCCATTCTGATGGCTCGATCGAGCGTTACAAGGCACGTCTTGTCGCCAAAGGTTTCCATCAACAGCTTGGGGTTGATTTCACAGAGACCTTCAGTCTTGTTGTGAAGCCTACCACCATTCAAACCGTGCTTAGCCTTGCCATGTCTCTTGGTTGCCCGATATGTCAACTTGACGTCAAGAACGCCTTTCTCCATGGTTCACTCATGGAAGAAGTTTATATGACCCAACCACCTGGCTTTGTTGATCCCAATCGTCCCAACTATGTCTGTAAGCTTCGGAAAGCCATCTACGGTCTTAAACAAGCTCTTCGAGCTTGGTTTCAACGTCTAAACACCTTTCTCATTTAGGCAGGTTTTATCCAAAGTCGGGCAGATAGCTCAATGTTTACATATCATCGCGGCTCCACTATCCTTATTTTTCTTCTATATGTAGATGACATTGTTTTGACGGGTAACTCCCCTCCGTTGATTCAATCCTTTATCCAAACTCTGAGCACTGAGTTTGAGCTCAAAGATCTCGGCAAGCTGGACTATTTCCTTGGCATAGAGGTCTCTTATTTATCCAATGGTATTCACTTGTCTCAAAACAAATATACTTTGGAGTTATTACAACATGGTGACTTATTAGGGTGTAAACCTTGTTCCATACCCATAGCAGCCAAGACTCAACTCTCTGCACACACTGGTGTTCCCTCACGGATCCATCTCTTTACAGGCAGCTTGTGGGTTCTTTGCAATATCTTACCCTAACTCGGCCAGATATTTCTTTTGCTGTGCAGAATGTCTCTCAGTTTATGGGTCGTCCTACTACTGCTCACATGGAGGCAGTTAAACGTATATTGTGTTACCTTAAAGGCAGCTTGGGTATGGGACTTCGCTTGACTTCTTCTTCACAACCGTTTCGTCTCATCACCTATTCAGATGCAGACTGGGCGGAGTGCCCTGACACACGTCATTCTACCACTGGCTTTTGTATTTTTCTTGGTGACAATCTGATTTCTTGGTGTGCAAAGAAACAACGGACATTATCTCGATCTAGTGCCGAAGCGGAGTATCGGGCACTTGCCTTTGCACGCACTGATTCTATTTGGATAATGGGTCTTTTGCGTGACCTCCGTGTTTCCGTCTCTGAGCCCACAGTGATGCATTATGACAATTTGAGTGCCACATATATGGCTCCTAATCCGGTCTTTCATGCCCGCACGAAACACATCGTTTTAGATTATCATTTCGTCCGGGAACGTGTTGCGTCAGGGACTCACCGTGTTCACTTTCTTTCTTCTGTTTCGCAGCTGGCTGATCTTTTTACGAAAGGCCTGTCGAATACGCGTTTCCAATCCTTGTGTTCCAAACTTGTCTCCTATCCGACGTTAAGTTTGCGGGGGAGTGTAGACAGTTAGGGTTTAGGGGGTTTAGGGTTTTGTATTTTATTGTACTGTATAGCTGCTACTAACTCTTAGACCCCTTCGTATATAAACCCCTGTAAAGTATACTTTAAAGTCAATAAGAATCTGAAACTTCACAATTACATTTTGAAGTTGAAATAAAATTTGCCATGTGGTTCCCGTATACATATCATTTCCGATGTTCCTTGTCACATGAGCGAACAACCAATCGTCACGGTGATTGTCAGTACCAACGTTGTAGATGAGATCATGGTCAGGGTATAAATCAGCATACCGATCCCACAAGCCATAATGTCTAAACTTGTTTGTGTGACTATTGTTGACCAGATGGTTTGCCAGTGATGGATATGGATCCGGTATGTAGAGCTCGGCTGCAGATCGATCAGGGATGCCAATTCCCCACAGGGTTGGATCACTTCTCGGAGGTTCGAAGGTGAGACTACCCAAATTTATTTCACTTGTTGGTTCTATTGTAACGATAGCCCCATATTTGTAGTCCCCAATAATTCCAAGAACAGTTGCATACAGACTATAGTTCCCAGGTCGAACATTTTTATTGAGGAAATTACCTTGACTGTTGATGAGTATATTTTATATTATATATTTTACCCTAATCTTAGTATATTTTGGTTAATATTTTGGAAGAATTTTGATACTTTGAATTGTATTTTCAATATAGGACTTTCGACTTCCTCTGGAGCAAAACAGGATCAAGTGGACGAATGTTGGAGTAATTTCAGTTGGAGGACGTTCGTGAGTCACTTAGCTTGATCGTATCAAAATCTGGGATTTTTCCACCAAGCGGTTATTTTCTGGCGATAAAATAAAGGAGCGATGCGCAGTGTTGGAAAATGACGTTTTTGGGCTTAAATTGCGTTTTTGGAGCCCAAGATGACCTCGGATGGGTTCGTGGCCTTTTGGAGAAGTGTTCAGAATATTTCAAACATTGTATACAGCTATATTGGGCCAGTTTTGGAGCAGCTTATGGGTCCTAAACGTGGCTGTTCAGATTTTAGGCGAATTTTACCATTTAATTTAGGGTTATGTTTCCTATTTTATTTGATTATTAATTTTAGTTTCCTAGTGGCAATAAAGGACCTGGGATTAGGGTTTGTGTGGTGGTTTAGCAAATATATTGCTTGGCCGTCTACAGTTTTTCTCAACGCTTTATTTTATGCAATTTTGAAGACAGAGAGAAGTGCTAGGGTTTTGGAAATTTTCTACTTGAAGGTGTTTTCAATCATTTTCTTAATAATATTTTCTATGATTTCAATTATGAATATGCGTAACTAATTTCCTTTTGCTAGGACGAAGCGTTAAGCCTTAGCATGAATATGTGATTTTTATTTAATTGCTTATGATTGATTGCATGCATACTTTGAATTATTAATCACCGGGATAAAAACTATATAATTGTCTTAATGCCTGATCACCATTAGGATCTTTAGAAAAGTAATTTGATGCAATTTTGGTCGAAAGGTTCCCTGAAATTGATGCTAGCTTCTTGTGATTAATAATTGTAATTTCACTTAGGATGAACACCACGTCTTAAGGGTTTCATGGTTTTTCAAAGGATTTTCATAAAGTATAATGAGTCTTTCATGTTCAGATTTGATCTGAACGTCCGGATGTGTTACATGTTAGATATATGTTCTATGTTGGAGGTTCCAAGTAGAATATGAATTAGGAAAATCTAACCTTCAAAGTGGCATGTGTAGATCATAAGTAATTGGTAAAAGTTCATAGGATTGCTAGGTGATGATGGAACCCTAATGCTTTCTTAATTTGATTTCTCACAAAACTGTTTTTTTTTCTTCTAGTTTTCAATATTGCAGATTGTTGACTTTAATTAATTAATTTCTTTTTTATTTTAAGTAGGATATAAAATCAATCACCTAAATTTCTACTTTACAATAACTATTTGGAATTTGGTTTGCTTCAAATTATTTTATAATCCCTGTGGAGAATGACCTTGTGAGATCCGTTTATACTATAACAACCTTGTGATTCTTGCAAGTATAATAGGAGTTTTTAGCCCATTCACATAAGTTGTAAAATCCCTATCAAGAAAATAGCGCCGTTGCCGGGGATTATTTAAAATAATCCTTACTAATCAGATTTTCAATTAGTTATTGCTGTTTATACATATAAAAAAATAATAATTTAATTTTCTTTTTTATTTTATTTTTCACAAATTACAGCAGTACAGTTCAGATTACAAAGATAATCTGTGCATTGTCAGCACCCGTTCAACAGTGCAGAAATTGTTTCCTTTTGATCCAGAACTGGAGTAGACTTTGAGGAGACGCAGGGAGAAAAATTTGCAGTGGTTCCTTCTCTGAAGGGTACTTTTAAGCAATCTTTAATTTCTGGGGATCTGCACAGTAAAGAAAAAATGGCGTTTGTTATTCCAGAGGCAGGTCAACCTTTGGGTGATTCTTTAACAGCCTATACCACAAATATACCAAGTTGCATTACTTATCCGGTAGTGGAGGAAAGGTCTACATTTGAAATAAAGCAGCACATGTTGAATATTCTACCTACATTTCATGGGTTATCGACTGATGATCCAAACATGCATATTGCAGAATTTTTAATGGGATGCAAAAATATTTTGGTGATAGGATTTTCAGCCGAATCTATTAAGCTTTGTTTGTTTCCTTACACTCTAAAAGATCAAGCAAGAAGATGGCTCCTCACACTCCCATCTGGAAGCATTAATACTTGGGCCCAACTCAGTGAAAAATTTTTAAACAAGTATTATCCAGCTTCTAAGACTCTTGACATGAGAATTCAGATTTTATCTTTTGCCCAAAAACCAAATGAAGAGTTTCATGAGGCGTGGGAGCGGTTTAAGGAGTTGATTAGAAAATGTCCACATTCGGGTATTAACACTACTAATCAAATGCATATATTTTTCAGATGGTTGAATATGACAATAAAAACTATTGTCAACGCTTCATGCGGAGGTTCGTACAAAGATAAAAATGCACAAGAAACTTGTTTGTTATTTGAAAAAATGGCAACAGATACGCAACAGTGGGCAGTTGAGCAACCACAATCTAGGTCTGTTTTTTAGATGTCTAATGGTTCACCATATGTGTCGGCACAAATTGAAAAAATGGAGAAAAAGCTTGTAAGATTTGATGCAAAATTAGACATGTTATTACAAAGAATACCAGGTTCACAGGTTGCTGTACAACAGCCCTTACAAGCTGCCTGCAGCATTTGTAACTTAATAACTCATGATTTTATGAGCTGCCCACATAGAGATGTTTGTCCAGATTTTACAGCAGAGCAGGTTAATGCATTTAACAATTTCCAGCGTCCCAGATATGACCCCTATTCAAATTTCTACAACCCAGGTTGGATAGATCATCCTAAGTTAAAGTGGGACAAAGATCAGCATTCTAGACCTCAATTTCAACAGTAGGTACAGCAACCTGATGCACCTAGGGCTGCTTGGGAGGTTGCAATTGAAAAATTAGCAAATACTACCACTCAGGAAATCCAAAATCTACAAGCAGCAATGAAAAACATGGAAAAACAAATTGGGCAGATTGCGTTGCAGGTTTCAGAAAGAGCTCCGGGTACATTTCCTAGTCAAACAGTACCTAATCTAAGAGGACGAGAAGAATGCAATGCTTTACATACTTTATGGTCTGGCAAAAGTTATGACAACAGACATGAAAAATCCGCTGGAAATTCGCGGGCAGCAGAACAACCCCAAACTAAATTTGCAATTTTTGCAGATTCTGCAATTTCTGCAGTTTCTGGGCAGCTACAAGACAGATTTGAAAATACTGCAGAAGCTACCACAAAAATTGCAGAACGTGTATATGAGCCTCTTATGCCTTATCCTGAAAGGTTGAGGCCCAAAGCTAATGATCAACAGTTGACAGATTTTATGAAAACTTTGGCTAAAGTTCAAATTAATCTTCCATTAATTGATGCAATCAAAAACATTCCATCTTATGCCAAATGTTTGAAGGATGTTTGCACAAAAAAAATGAAGATCGTTGATTTTGAAAAAGTGATTCTTACATAACAGTGCAGTGTGGTCTTATTGCATAAATTGCCTCCAAAGAACAAAGATCCAGAGAGTTTTACTATCTCTTGTACTATTGGCAATTCTGATTTTAAAAGTGCTTTAATTGATTTAGGTACTAGTGTAAACTTAATGCCTTATTCTATTTTCAAACGTTTAGGTGAAGGAGAGTTGAAGCCAACCTCCAACATTATTCAATTGGCTAACCGTTTAATTACCTATCCTAGAGGGATCATTGAAGATGTTATTGTGAAGGTTGACAATTTGTATTTACCAGCTGATTTTATGGTGTTGGACATGGATGAGGATTTGACAACACCCATCATTTTGGGCAACCCATTTCTGGCAACAGCCCGAACTCTTATTGACGTTGAAGCCGGAAAATTAACATTCCGGGTTGAAGATCAAACTGTTGTTTTCAAGTTGTTTGAAGCAAGCATACATTCAAGTGCATGCGTGTTGATGCATTGGATGGTTTGCCAAGTGCCGAGTTTATGAACAAATCATCAACTGACCATCTGTCCATAAAGCCCCCGAATATGACTCGTGATTGTACAAGTCCTAAACCACAGCAGCAAAGGATGCTACATGATGACCAGCCAATTAACACTATGAAAAAAACATGAAAATTTGCCAAGTAGCCCAAATTTTAAGATAATACAACCTGGTAAAAAAATGTGGTTGTTAAGTTCCTATTTCAAATCATCTCCAAGGAAACAAGAGTCTCGAAGGAAATACCCTTTTCTAGTTACTAAAGTTTTTCATAATGGTAACGTGGACATCAAGGCTGAGGATACAGGTTTCACATTTAAGGTTACCAGACATCAACTTAAACCATGCATAGCAAAATTTGGTGTAGGCGAGTCATCAACTCTGAAGGCACCAATGATCTAGCCACCGGACTTCTGCAACGTCTAGCTACAGACTTAAAATAAACACTTGTTGGGAGGCAACCCAATTTTTCTAAACTCTTTCCTTATTTTATTTTTCGTTTGATTTTTTTTATTATTATTAGTTAAATTTCTAGATGCAATACATACCTAAGTTTTCAAAAAAACAAAAACAAAACACCAAAAACAAAACACAAAAAAAAAAATATATATATATATATATATAATAAAAATTAATAAAACATTAAACAAAAAATTTAAAAATTTAAAAAAAATTAAAAAAAAACGAAAAAATCATAAATGGAAAATTGCAGGTTGATTTTATTTACCCAGTTTTTTTTTTTGTTTTTTTTTAACGCATATTGGTTAATTGCAGGTTGCGAACGTGGAAAATAAAGCGCGTCCTATGCTGGAATCTTGCACCCAACAGCAAGTCTACCTTCACATCAACCACATCTACACAATGCTGGAAATTTAAAGCAGTCAACATAAAAAGTCATACACAGATGCAAGTTTGGGGGAGATTGTTGCAAATCCAGCAGAGACATAATTTTGAGCAGTTAATTTTCTGCAGCTCAATTTTGCGATGCATGGAGGAGAAGCACAATTAAATCACAGATCCATACACCACAGAACTGAGTATAGCTATCATTACCAGATCTACAACAACTACACTTGCAGGGATTCGAATTTTACCTCCCAGATGCATCGATCTGGGTCATGCGGCCTGTGCTGTTTTCGTTTGTTGAGCTTGTGTGGTTACTTCTTTTTCCCTTGGCTCTATCATGGATCCGAGTGTTCTGCACAAGCAACACATGTCTGCCTACATGCAGAAGTAATGAAGCAACTTTTTCACAGATTGGGGTTCATCACCAACAGAGAACAAGATATTACTTTTGTAAGACCTGGATCTGCAATGTTAGCTGGTGTTCCTTTTTCCTTGCTGTGTCAAGTTTCTCGATCATGGACCACTGCATCCCAACTATATCCATAGCACACCAACACGCATCAGTCACAACATAATAGTGCTCTACCAGTTACTAAGAACACAAAATAAACAAGGGTTACGGTGACTAAGTTGTACCTGCAGATGAATGCTCTTTGGACAATCGACCTTGGAATTGCCCCTTTTTGGTCCTGGTGTGACCTTTTTCGTTGTGCACCCGAGCATCCTCGCAAAGGAATCAGATCAGCATGCGTTAGTGTTCTTCTTTTCTGTCTAAAATCATTAGCTGGACATATAAATTGAGCAGGACAGGGGCGATGATTACCTTTGAGGGGAATGTGGAGCTTCAATGTACCATCAGTTCCATGGCAGAGTCGATTGTTTTTGGTTTTTGCTGAGCCGTGGGTGTGGTTGGCTAAGAGTGAGAAGGGATAAGAAAATGAGAGATATTTTTCATTTGACAGAGAAATGGGGTTTGAGAGGAAAGAGAACGCGGGATGAGAAAAATGGGAGCATTATTTCTGATATGGAGGTGTGTTTGGGTTGAGAAAGAGGCCTTGGATTTCTCACAAAACAATCTGAAATGAAAATAGGTGGATGAGATGCATGTGTTATGGGAATCCAAAGGACTTAATTGCACGGATAGGGGCCACGTGTTTAAATCGCGTGCATTCCATGCCTTTTTTTATGATGGTGGTTTTCAAATGGTGAGGTAAATAGTCGTTGGCTCTGGGTTAAATGACTAACAAAGACTGAGGACTGCGGACTGCTGTGCATGGGTTTTCAGACATGGGAACTTGCAAACACCATTTTCAAATTAGGATGCCAGCTGCATCCCATTCATCTCACAGGAATCCAATGTTCATATTGGACCTTTGTTTTGCACGTTGGGTTTCAAACCCTAGGGCTGCCACGTGTGGTTCTTTGTCAATGCTCAAAGGTTGTCACGCCATGATCCTTTCCCATGGCCCTAGGTCCTGATTTCGAATCAGATGATTTTTTTTCTGTTTGTTCTATCATTTGGTTATTTTAATTTCTTTGTTTCTTTTCTATTTTATTTTTTTTTTCTAGTTTTTTTTTTTAGTCTAGGCTGTTGTTTTGTCTTTTCCAGTTTTGTTTCTTTTTAGTTTATTTAGTTTCTATTTATATTCCACACCTTGAGGACAAAGTGTGAAATAAGTTTGGGGGTGGGAAAATAACATTTTAGGTTTTTAATTTGTGTCAGGTTAAAATTTTCATTTTTCTTAAGTTAATATCCATAGATTATTTTAAACGTTAGAACAAATGGACATGGTGAAGATTAATCCCACAGTAGAGTTTTTTCTATTTATCGTTGCTTAGACACTAATTCATGAATTATACTTTGAACTTTACACATCACACCAACATGGTTTGTGGGGAGTGAGATTGAAACACTTGCTTTTAGTCTAAGTTTATTTTTAATTTTTAATTTTTGTTTTAAGTAAAGTCAGTTATTATTGTGAATAAAGTAATAATTGTCTCACCCGAGGTTTTGCCTAGTAACCAGGCCAGTCCTGCCTAATCAGCAGTGATTCTCGCGTTAAACGGTAGAGTTTTGGCATGGAGCAGGGTGGTTAGTTGGTTTCGTAACCTTTTCAGCTCGGGTTAATAAGCCATTAGGGGTGTTCTACACCTAGTACCCTAAAGCCCTAGTGGTTTGGGAGTCATTGACCTAAAGCTCGCTACATGGGTTGGATCGAAAGCTTAAGTGAACCGACATTGCACGACCACTATTGTTACTGAAAAAAAATAAAAAATAAAAAAAAAAGAAAAAAATTGAAGAGAAAAAGAAAAAGAAAATATATATGTGAAGTTAGTATGTGTGGAGTATGAATACAGAAGACGAGATGTAAGAGTTTTAGTTGAGTCTCCTTAACTATGTTGGTTCACTTTACACCAAAGGAAGTTTGTGAATTTTTTTTCTAATTGATTCTAAATGGCTTAGACTCTGTGGTGGGATTGGTTGGAACTTTTGAAAAGATGTTCTAGTTTTTTAAATTTGCTATGGATTGCAACTTGAAGGTGGAAATTTTGTCTTGGTTGAGTTTTAGCTAGTTGTCTAGTTTGTTAAGTTTTTATTTTTGTTTGAGTCTTGTTTTGCTTGAGGACAAGCAAAAAACTAAGTTTGGGGGTATTTTGATGAGTATATTTTATATTTTATATTTTACCCTAATCTTAGTATATTTTGGTTAATATTTTGGAAGAATTTTGATACTTTTAATTGTATTTTCAATATATGACTTTCGACTTCCTCTGGAGCAAAACATGATCAAATGGATGAATTTTGGAGTAATTCTAGTTGGAAGACGTTCGTGAGTCACTTAGCTTGATCGTATCAAAATCTGGGATTTTTCCACCAAGCGGTTATTTTCTAGAGAAAAAATAAAGGAGCGATGCGCAGTGCTGGAAAATGACGTTTTTGGGCTTACATTGCGTTTTTGGAGCCCAAGATGACCTCGGATGGGTTTATGGCCTTCTGGAGAAGTGTTCAGAATATTTCAAACATTAAATTCAGCTATATTGGGCCAGTTTTGGAGCAGCTTATGGGTCCTAAACGTGGCTGTTCAGATTTTAGGCGAATTTTACCATTTAATTTAGGGTTATGTTTCCTATTTTATTTGATTATTAATTTTAGTTTCCTAGTGGCAATAAAGGACCTGGGATTAGGGTTTTTGTGGTGGTTTAGCAAATATATTGCTTGGCCATCTACAGTTTTTCTCAACACTTTATTTTATGCAATTTTGGAGACAGAGACAAGTGCTAGGGTTTTGGAGATTTTCTACTTAAAGGTGTTTTCAATCCTTTTCTTCATAATATTTTCTATGATTTCAATTATGAATATGCGTAACTAATTTCCTTTTGCTAGGACGAAGCCTTAAGCCTTAGCATGAATATGTGATTTTTATTTAATTGCTTATGATTGATTGCATGCATACTTTGAATTATTAATCGCCGGGATAAAAACTATCTAATTTTCTTAATGTCCGATCACCATTAGGATCTTTAGAAAAGTAATTTGATGCAATTTTAGTCGGAATGTTCCCTGAAATTGACGCTGGCTTCTTGTGATTTATAATTGTAATTTCACTTAGGATGAACACCACGTCTTAAGGGTTGCATGGTTTTTCAAAGGATTTTCATATAGCATAATGAGTCTTTCATGTTCAGATTTGATCCAAACGTCCGGACAGGTTGCATGTTAGATATATGTTCTATGTTGGAGGTTCCAAGTAGAATATGAATTAGGAAAATCTAACATTCAAAGTGGCATGTGTAGATCATAAGTAATTGGTAAAAGTTCTTAGGATTGCTAGGTGATGGTGGAACCCTAGTGCTTTCTTAATTTGATTTCTCACAAAACTGTTTTTTTTTCTTTTTCCTTCTACTTTTCAATATTGCAGATTGTTGACTTTAATTAATTAATTTCGTTTTTATTTTAAGTAGGATATAAAATAAATTACCTAAATTTCTACTTTACAATAACTATTTGGAATTTGGTTTGCTTCGAATTATTTAATAATCCCTGTGGAGAATGACCTTGCGAGATTCGTTTATACTACAACAACCTTGTGATTCTTGCAAGTATATAGGAGTTTTTAGCCCATTCACATGAGTAGTAAAATCCCTATCAATTGTCGGCTCGAGTCCAGAACCGATAGCCCTTGCATTCCCTTTGCCATGATCCCACGTCTCCAGGTGCAGCCAATCCCACATAAGCAGAACTAGCCCCAAATACGCCCTCGTTAATGTATGAATCCCGTATTAGTAGTTGACCGGCAACTGATCCACGTCCATTGGAGCTAGGAAAGTCTTCGGACCAACTATTTACTTCTTTAAGCATCTGCCCATTAGCATTATTCCACAGCGAGAGGGACATATTCAACTGATTCAAGCCTGGAACGTCTGAGTTCAGATGCACATAGACTGTCCCAAAAACCCTTCGGCAAAGCTCATCCCAACTTCGCTCCCAACGTAGTGACCACTGTGAAACTCAGAGAGGGCAGTTGGGCCGACATGAGATGTAAGTACCTACTTGAATGGCCCCGCTGTGAGAAACTCATCACTGGATGTGATGATCCATGCAAATCCAACCATGAACCTTAATGTCTTTGTTCTCCCTTGAGTACTGGTACTTGTCATCCTCCTCTCCTCTAAACTCAGGATTGCTTGGATTCGTTAAAAGAACAGCTTCTTTATAAGCAAGTTGCCAACCTTTGCCACGGTCTTTGGCTGTTGGCATGAACCTTTGTATGTCGTCTGATACAACCATGAACTTAAATTTATCTTGTCTAAGCTTGAAAGCAATTCTAATCTGATCGATATGCAATTGTGGCCACCCTTCTAGACGCTCAAATATGGCGTATGTGTAAAACCCAGTGAGACCCCTCTGCATTATGATCCTCTTGTCAACATTCAAGCGAATTGTCACATCAGGGAAACATCGTAAGTTTTGGTAAAAGACTAGTAAATTTTACCCGCACGTTGTTGCGGGAGCGAAAATATAACTATAGACTATATTTTTAACATATAAATAACCAAGGACTAAGATAAACATGTAGAAAATGGAGCAAATATTTTTACAAAGTTGTCTAAGTTTATATGACTTACAGAAAAGACATTGTCAAATGCCTTGTCATTGATATACAAAAATGGCTAGTCTAGTATTCCTCATTGACAATCATCTCAGTGCTTCATTTGTATAATTACTTGAACATAGAATATCCCATAAGAGCACATTTTCCTTTAAGCGCTCACTGCAAATAAAACAATTTGGATCATCCGGAGAAAAAAAAAAAGAAGTTACAACTGAAACAAAATGTTAATACAGTTGTAATTAATTAGCAGTAATACTTTTACATGAAAGAATCGGACAGACGATGGCAAACTACGATATCAATAAATGAAAAAAAATTCAACAGCCATCATTCATTTATATATAGGAATAATAAAATCCATTTGCATTAGCTCTGGATCAAGTTCAACTCAAGGCTACAAAAATTTTAAACCCAAGATTCAGATAGCATTATTCAACCCCAAAAACCAAATAGTACATTTAACTGACTTAACACGATTGAAGGCATAAATCAAATCTAGGAAATTATACTCAACCTGCAATGCAGAAACGAACACTGTAGCTTATATACATTCTCAATGTCCTCAGCAAGTCCTCTCTCCAATGGCTCTGCAATCTACAAAAGGTTTTTAGAAGATTATAATTTAAAAACTGAATCACATAAAATTTCTGAAATTAGGTTGCTTCTTACCATAGTTATTTTATTCTTCTTATTGGATGTTTCAGCAAAGCATTTGATTGACAAAGGCTACACTGTTTCACAAAATGAAACAACATGATCAACCTACAAACAAAAGCATATCCATCAAGAAAAGAAGAACATAAAATTTTACTTTAAAAAGAAAAAACGTGAAGATCACGAAGATTGTTGGAGACCGATTCCAAAAACAAATACAAACCCAGTAAAATTCAGCTCAAATTCATGCAATATAATATAAGCCAAACAACCCCAATTTTCTCAGGAAACCAAGAAAACCCAAGAAGAAAAAAAACGAAAATGTGAATTCCAAGATCTAATAAAAAGCACAATGCAAAGATAAATTATATACCTGGCCCAGAAAGGGTTTGCAAACTCCCACAACAAAACCCTAAAGTTGGAAGATAAACGTTTCCTGCAACCAAAAACAAAATCAGACAAAAGATCCACACGCAAAATAGGAAAAAATAAAGAAAACACTTAGCAGGAATCGAATTTTACAACAATCAATTAAAAAAATTTCTTACCAACCAAGCACAGAATAACGGCACACAGCAACCAACGCACCCAAATCGTTGCGATTCCTCCGCGGAAAACAGCGGGAAAAAACAGACCAACCACCCTTCTAAACGATCGGATCGCGATAAAAACAGCGAGTCACACACAGAGAAACGCAAAGAGAGACGGAAAAACAGAGAGAAGAAAAGAAAAGGAAATGAAAAAGTGGAAGATGCTGGAAGTGGAAGTAAAGGTGTAATGCTCTTCCAGAATCTTTCCTACAAAACGCAACGTGGCCAAAGCTCAACCAAAAACACCAAAAAGCACCTTTCAAACAGGAGCAACAGCTGCAAACAAAAATGAAAGAGGGGTAAAACCGAATGGGCACTGTTAATGAACAGTACCCATCTGCTGAGCTTTAGTATATATAGAATAGAATATCATTTTTTATCCTTTTTGTGCCACAATCCTGTGGTCGGGTTGAACATCTGATATTTTTTAATTAGTTTTTCGTCCTACAACCGATTTTTTTATCATTTGTTTATCTTTTTCTGTACCACATATCATGTGTGTGGGTTTAAAAAACCAATAACAAGTTAAAAGAAAAAAAAAACTTATGAAAAGATCTTGAAAACTTTGAGTTTTAATAATAAGGACAAAATAAAGGTAAAGTGAATATTATCAAGTTTGACTTTTTAATGTAAAAATGTGATTTTTTTTGTTAAAGTGAACAGTACCGTGAGTTTTTCGTTAAAATTTTCAAAAAAAGAAAGGCTCCACGGTCATGGATGGTGGACACGTGGTGTAGAAGAGCACCAAACCGGCCTCACCATTTTTAATCATTTTCTTTCCCTGCTCTAATTTTTTTTATAAATTTTTATAGTTTGTCGTGCCACACAACATGTGGCCGGATTTAATTCACACTTTTTAATATATTTTTTGCCTGCCATCAGTTGCTTTAAACACGATGACAGAAGAATGGCCTAGGAGGGCAAGGAAGTCATTTTACTGTAGAAACGATGGCAAAAAAGTGGCTTAACAAACGAATAGAGGGGCATTTTGGTCCGCGCACTGTCCGTGAACAGTACAACGTCGTTGGGGTTTTAGTATAGGTATAATGTCTCTATTTGGTCTGGCGTCGCTGTAACAATCTTAAATTTTGTTCCATATAGAGTGTAATAACCATAGTTCCCGGCGTTAAGATCCCAGTAACCTCCTTGTGGGTTAGTTTTGACTTCAAGCAAGTTGTCAATTCCCTTGTACTGGATTCCAACCACGTCTCCTTCCGTAAAAGAAAAAGTGAGTCGAACAAGGCCATTGTTTAGCTCCACCAAGTTATGAGTCCGTTGTAGCATCTGAATTCCAAAAACGTCTACTACCATGCCTGCTCCTTAGAGATCTCCTTACAGAAATCGTCTTCTCAAAATCACCATTATTAGGAAGGAACAAGAGAAAAGCAAGCACCGCCACTGCTGATGCCCCAAGGATGCAACTGCTCCATTGCCGTACCTTCTCCATGAAAACTCTATTACCTGGAACAATGTAGTGTTGTTGCAAAAACCGATCGAAAGGAGAAAATGTATGAAAATTTAGCAGTATGATCGTAAACTCAAGTCCATGAAACATTCGAGCGAGATAGACGCCTATTTAATATACCACAATCGCAACAGATATGCTACGATAGCTTTACATGATAGATACAAATAGTAGAAAAAAATATAAATACTATACTAATATTATGTAAATGGATAAAACACTAGAAATATATTATAAGAGAAACAAACACTAGAAACATATACTATAATAGATACAAACACTAGAAACATTAAATATCGCGAATAAAAATACAAGTACAAACTTTTTTTTTGTTCGATTATTATAATGTTTCTGTTATCAAATGTAATAATATAACTTTTGACAAAAAAAATGTAATAATATAACTAGTAAAACATGTTTCTAGTTTGTATCCATTTAGGCGAGCCGGACAAAAAAAATACAAATACTAATATCATGTCCTTGATAACATTTTGTTAGCTAGTGTAAATAAGCAATTTCTAGTAAAATGCTTGTCTCTGTAATTTATTTAGACTTGTGTATATTTTGTATGTAACCGTTGAGTTTAAGTTTGCCTCTTGTAGTTCAAGAACCTCAAGAAATTTCAAAAACATCTGCACAAGGCTGGTCTTGACATTTTTGAGGCCCGGGGCAACCTTAAAAATGTGCTTTAACTTTATATAAGAAAAATTATTTGTTTTCATACGCAAGACTTTGAAAAAATAATACTTAGAAAAGCATTTCAAACTCAATAATTTAGAAATATGGAAAAACTAATTTATTTTGTATTGAGATAAGGGAACCAAAAGAACTCGGGCTTACAAGTAGATAGATGATGAGTTTTGTTCTCCTTCTATCTAAACTTTTAAAGTATTTTTATATAACTCATGAGTTATTTTTTCTTATTAACTAACCTAGTCAATATGAGACTAAAAAGATAATCATATTTTTGAGTCTTTAATTGATATGTATAGTAATGAATGAGCACTAAATTAAATATAGTATTGGTCAAGACATACATACATTAATTTCTTGAAAGCTAATGCTAGGGATGCCAAATTTTTAAATTAAATTGTGTAAACCATATGTTGTGATTGTTGATAATTGAATTATTACTTAAATGTTGATTAACGTGTTTACTTCCTATTGGTGACACTTCATATGATTTGAAAATTTGGTCTAAAAATTTGGTCTACACATTACTCTTTGTTGAAGGTTAGACTTGAATTGGAATGAATGTCTAAAAACTGCATCCACATAGCAATGTAATAACCCGTCCCTAATTTTACAATTTTATAAATTTTTAAAGTGTGAATTTACCAAAATGCCCCTTGAGGCAAGGATTGTTAACTTTTGTTGACCATCGTTGAAAGGGACGTACAACCCATTCTTTTAACGTATTTGTGTAGTACACGACGAGATAAACGTGTGGGCACAAGCAGAATTGGGTTTTGAGCTACGATGAAGATTTTACGGACTTACGAACGTGAAGGGCAATTTGGTAATTTCCTGTTGGGAGATTTTTTTTTTTTGTGTGTGTTTTTTTGTGAGCCGATGGGGCCCATACTCCATTTCTCCCTCTCTTCCATGTCTCCCACCTTCTCGGCCCATCTCTCATTTGTCATTCAATCACTTTTTCTTTACCTTCACCTCTCTCTTTCTCTTAGCTTCTTCTCACATCTCTCTTTCTGCAATTGTAGAGAGCCCACGCCACACCATACCACCATCGCCGGAACAGCAAGCACCGACCCACCACCACCAGCCACTTACGATGGTGGCCACTCCAACGAGAGTCAAAAATTCAGATCACCACCTCACCTTACTTTCTACACTCTCAAACTCTTTCATCTTAAAGTCTTCCATCTTTATTTGCTTGCATCGAAAGGGTGCAACAATAACACCATCACACCACCTTGTCACTCTAGCGATCCCTCTGACCACGAACCACCACCACAGTACAGTTACTAACCTTCATTCGAGAACTGAGCTCTCTGGGTGTGTACGAACCGAGGAGGAGTTTGTATAGAGTTTGACTTTTTCCAGCGAGTTTTTTTCTATCCACAACCAAGGTAGGCTTCAAGACTCCTTAAACCTTTCTTATAGCTCGATCTAATCCTACTTAACCATGAATGTCGTCTTGGTGAAGCTAGGAACGCAGTAACATTGGGTAGAAATTTTCAAGTTTTTTTGGGAAATGAAAACCATGGTCATCTAACCACTTTCAAACCAATTTCTCGGCCAACACCTATCATGATTGGTCTTCCAATAGGTATAGACCGATTCCTTGCATTTCTAGCTTCAAATTGGTTTTTGTATCATTGATTTTGGTGGTGAATTGAGCTAGATATTTGCTCTAGAAGTTAGGCCATAAATTAGGCCGAACATGTGCTTCAAGAAGAAAGCAAGTACGTTTGTACTCACAGGCGCGTGGGCGCTCGTGAATGCGTGAGGGTGGTCGGCTTGTGCGGTGCATGAAGGAACCCAAAGTCCCTCCTTAGGTTTCTCAATGTGCCGAACCCGATTCCGCCGTCCGTTTTCCGAAATTCGACCATTTTAAAATAGTTTCTTTATTAGCCATACTTTGTACGAAAACGCGTATATACGTTAATGCGTTATATATTTATGTAAATGGTTTCATTTCTAGGTGAAACGCATCACAAGGATCTTCGATGGCCACGAGACGGGTTCGACCCGGCGACATGATTTGTGAGTGGGTCTTTTCTTTTATATAGCTTATATATTGGTTAGTTTTCACATACATATTTAATAATGAATTTTCTATGTGATTGCCATAATTAAATTAACGTTTATAAGAAAGGTCGTAATGTTGAGAATTATGAAATTATTTAGAATCTTGCGGGATGCATAGGTATGCGTACTATTATGGGATGCCTTAATTATATTTGCAGCCATGAATAATATATGTTGACTAGAACTATCGAATCATTGTGGCTTAACTATATTTATGTTATCTGCTCATCGTGTGCTACACCGGTGTTAGTACTCGTCTGAGGCCAGAAGTAGTCATTCACGTGTATGTTCACATCGCACCAAACGCTCACTTTGGATCCATTGTAGGTGCCAATCCTGACCTAGATTGCTATAGGCAATTAGGACTCATATGTGATGAGCGTAGTGCCAGTATTCACGTGATTGTAGTACTAGAGCGTAAATCATTATTACACCTAGTCTTGTTATGTCAGAATACCTCTACATGAACTCATGTGTCAGCATATGTTGATGAGCATCCGATATTATATGTTCGTTCATTCGAGTTATTATGATTACCGATTGTCATGCAGTTTATATGCTGAATATCGTGAATTGTTGCATTCTGGTGATATTACTATTTACAATAAACGTTTTCATACTATATGTAGTATATTATATGTGGAAACTATACTTGTTTTACGGCAAGAGGTTATAACATTTTCAAAAAGGTTTTACAAAGATTTATTTTTTTTAGTGGCAGAGCTTTCGTGTCAACGAGGATTTCTAGCAAAACATTGTTATGAGAATACTCCTGATGGTATAATTCCTCTTTTACTTCTACTATACTTTACTTATGCTCTGACATCACATGTGAAATGGGTTTATTCGCGCTCACATGTGCACTCTTCCATTTAGGCACTTTTAGGTTTAAATTTATTCACATATTCCACATCATTACAGTCCATGGCTTTGTCACCTTCTGATGTTGGCCAGCACAACTCGATTCAAAATCCAGGTGAACCTTCCAGATTGGGGTGTGTGAGCAACTAGCTAGTAATTAAAAGAAATTAAAACCAAACATAAATTCATTAAAAAAATGGAAAAAAATAAAAAAT